TGAATGAAATAATTGTAAAAACATCGTTCCAAATTCTTTCGCTTTTTTGTTTCCGATGCGATGAACCGATAAGGCGGATTATATCCGTTGTCGCCAAACACGAGCACATAATATTATTATTGAGACAGGGCGATACTCAAACTTCCAAAGGGCTATAACTTTGTTACTTTAATTTTACCAGAAAAATGGTAAAGGAAAAAAACATTTCTTTTGATCAGATCTACTCACTGTTAAAATAAATGACTCAACTTCGAAGTATAACTGTAACGACATACAATAAACAACTGACGTTGACAAACCCCTTCCGCAGTAACAAAAGGTATTTTACACATTTCTGTTACTAAATTAATATGTATATATAGCGTAAATATAAAGGAAAAAGTATGTTTGTAAAACCGCCATAAAGATATTTGAGTTTAATTTTTTGGATAGATGATATTACCAACAATGGGGAAAATCAAAACTTATTACCAAATTAAAATATATGAATTATGTTGGAGCATTGTGGAGGAAGGCTCCTTACAATTTAATTAATTTCATTCAATAACAGAAGTTAAAATTGCTCCACACGAAACGTTACTTTATTCCACGAATCAGCTCAAATAAGAGCTGAACCACTCGCATGCAAAATGTGTTTGAAATATTTCATATGCTCGCATGAGGATTATTTCTAACCAACTTTGTAACCTATCAAATCAATTCGCTCAATACAATCATTCCAACATCAATATCAGCTGACTACTAGCAACGACCTATCGTTTCAAGCAGGGTTTCCCGCCAAATTCAAACCGGTTATTTGCCGCCCGGGCAGGCGAAAGGTCGCAGCACCTGCTCGAAGCGCAGATCTCTTTTCCTAACCTACCGCACTGCCCGAGAGATTTTCTATCGCCGTCCACTTTTGCATTCCGCCGTCAGATGGCGCGACGCAGTTATATGCGGCGCGCCTGATCGTGGTTGTCAAGGCAACCGACCAGCCGATCGAAACAAAGGAGGGGCGCTGGCTGAAATTTACAACGGCGCCGTTGCCTTGTGTACGGAAGTATTCGGTAAAAATGCTACATGTCACGTTTCAATCATGAATCAGTTTATTTTTAGAAAATTCACTCTGGATTATTTGCCCCAAGTTCGTTATATTGGAATATGTCATAGAACAAGAGCTACCTGGTAATCTGGTACAAGTCCATATTGTTATGGCGTAACATTGCCTAAAAAAGTGAGTTGAGTAACAAAAAAAATATCATAAAAAAGTATATAAAAATTGTAGCGCCACATACAAGAGACAAAAAAGTTGTTCCACGAGCTGCTTAATTCGAAACAATAAGTGTTTTAAAAAAGACAGCTGCTTCCATTTTTTGCTAATCTCGCTCATGAAATTGTCTGAAAGACACCACCTGAATCTATAATTATCTTTTAGTTAGTGATAACTCAACATCATAATAAAGGGTTGTCCAATAGGGACGCAGGAAAGTAAACGTCAATTTGACATAGACGCCATCTTTGTTTTCTGTCACCGACATGTCATTTTGTTAGTTGAATGTTTACCACTGATCGTTATGGAGTCGTATTCGATTGAAGACCACATTAAAGTTATTCAAGAGCACTACAAAAATGGTGCAAAAATAAAAAACACGTTTCGCGCGCTTCGTGAACATTTCGGTCGCAACACCCGCCCAAACGAAACAACCTTCGGTCGTCTGGTGCGTAAATTCGAGGCAACAGGTTCTGTGGCAAATCTGCCAGGCTCTGGCCGGCCAAGGAGCGTTCGCACACCGGAAAATATTGCTGTTGTGAAGGAGAGTGTGAGAGACGATTCGAAACAATCAACAACGCGTCGATCCCAAGAATTGGGCATTTCGAGAACCAGTTTGCTCCGCATTCTCCACAAGGATTTGAATGTACACGCCTACAAGATCCAATTGACGCGAGAGCTGCGTCGGGCCGACCATTTTTCGCGCCGAACGTTCTCAGATTGGCTCCTTGAACACCGCCAAATTGATGCCAATTTTTCATCAAAAATCATGTTCAGCGACGAAGCGCATTTCACTTTGAATGGGACGGTAAACAAGCAAAACTGCCGCATCTGGGCGAACGAAAATCCCCGTGAGTATCAAGAGCAGCCGATGCATCCTCAAAAAGTGACTGTGTGGTGTGCATTGTGGTCAAAAGGCATCATCGGACCTTACTTTTTCGAAAATGCGGCCGGGGACGCCGTTACTGTCAATTCTGAGCGATATCACGTAATGATAGAGAACTATTTTTTGCCGCAACTTGAAGGAATGGATATGGACGATGTTTATTTCCAACAAGACGGTGCAACATGCCACACAACCAACGTCAATATCCATCAATTGCAGTTCTTCTTCGGTGATCGCGTTTTTTCGCGCAGAGGAAATGTGCCATGGCCACCAAGATCGTGCGATTTGACTCTCTTGGAATTCTTTTTATGGGGATATTTGAAAAGCAAAGTCTACGTCAACAAACCAGCCACCCTCCAAGAACT